GACGGTGTCAGACCGTCCTCCACGCGTGAGCCGCTGGCTTGAAGCCCACAGTCGAGGATCTCAGTGCTGGGGTCGTCCGGGGCCCAGGCTCTGGGCCTCTTCTCACGTCCACCTGCGTTCACTCCCTCGGCAATGACACCCCGTCTTGTGGTTTTAAACACGGTCCATACACTGAACACTTCCAAGTTTACACGCCTGCTAGGACCTTTCTCCTGCTTGGATACACCAGACACACATCCACCCACCCACAGGACAGGCCCGCGTCCACGCGATGCGTTAACATGCCCAAGATCATGTCCCGGTTTCAAACCCACGCCGGCCCCACTCATAGCCTCCCCACCCCCTGCCCCTGTTCCAGCCCCGTCCTCACATCTGTCCTGCGGCCACAGCCCTCCTCCCACCCACGCGCAACACACCCCATCCGACCTGTCTCACCTGCTCCGACACTACGTCCTGCGACCTTGTGCCTGGACAGTCACGACAGCGTTCCAGAGAGGGAAGAAACACGCGGCGCGAAAGAGCCCCTCAGCGTGCCTGCTGGCTCAATCTGCTTTTCAGTCTGGCGGATTTATTTGAAATTTCAAATAACATTAAGCGAGGAAGATGCAAATTTTCAAGCTGAGAAACGGTGCCTTATACAGAGTAGAATGGGCCACCGTTGTCATCATGTCAAGAGGGCCTCACGAGTCCTGGATGTGACATTTAGTTCACTCGCGCCCGGCTTTGCTGGGCTTCCTGCACTTCCTGCCTCCATGTAAACACTTCTTCTTGGGACAGTATCTTTTATACACGTACAAAGGTAAATAAAACACACCCTAGAGCTTTCTGTGGGTGTGCTGTCTGCGAGGTTCTGAAAACGACGCCTTGCATCTGTCCCTGAGAGTAACGCGGGTGGACCATGACCACATCGCCTGCAGTCCTGGGACAGAGGTCACCACCAGAGTCCTATCTGAGGTCCAGCGTGAGTTCACTGGCCTCTGCCACTTAAACGTCTTCCTCTCGTTCCCCTCCACCCCCTCACGACTCCCGGTGGCATGAACAATTTACCGGGCACTCACTATATGCCAGGCAGGGCACTGGGCAACTCTGTATTGCGCTGAGTGCCAGGAGGTGTCTGAACAGCATGGCTGGCTACAACTATCCGATGAATAAAAAAGGAGAGGAGGAAAAATAAGTGAGGTACGCAGCTTGTAGGTGGTGGTGAGGACGAGAGAGCCAGGGCGTTCCAGGTGGGGCCGGACACCTCGCTAAGCCTCAGGGGAGGAGCCAGGCCTCGTCCACATTTGCACGGTCCTCGCAGGCGGGAGGTGGAGCCGGGTATGCCGCCTCCCAGATGGCAAACGCCACAGAATTAAGACCTGGAGGGTGTGGGACTGCAAAGCCTCGCTCTTAAGTAACCTCCGCCGTGTGCTTGCAGAGATAACACAACTGAAGGCTGAACTCTCCTGTGCAAGCATTTCCATAGACCTACACAAAGGCAGGTACTGCAGACAAAAAAGAAAAGGATTTTTATATAGGGAGGTCAAATTCTTTAATTACTACTTTCTATTAGATATATTGAGGGGAAAATTCAAAGAGGTAACGTGATCTCCTTAGCCTGACATTCAATAAGAATGGTTATTCTAGAGCTTGCACTTTGAGGATATTACATAGGTTCGATTTCAGGGATCCAGTTGACTTTGGATAGACTTTAATTTAGCCAAAATTCAACACATGTGAAAGGCATTGCAGCTGCTCCTCTAACACATGCAAATGAACATCACCCATCGCTGGAACTAAAATTAAACCCTCCTCAAACGCGTCTCACTGTGGGATGAATATTCAAACATCTGTCTGGACAAATCCATATTTCAAAAACTTTGAAAAAAGTATGTATATACAGTTTCAGGGACTCTGAAAGGACTTGCGAGGGGGACTGCAGGTGGGAAAGCCAGCCACGCACTCTACAGAAAAGTACGGAGAGGCACAAGCTCAGTGGGAAACCAGGTCTTAACCCACCGGTGAAATGAAACTCCTCACACCACCTCAAGGACACGTAATCCCAAGCAGTTGACTGAAGTCACAGGAGAGATCTCTGTGCTAGATTCCTGAGTTTAGGCCGAGCCCCTCAGGAGAGCCATGCAGACGCTTTCCGGGCTCTGGACAGCAGCTCTCCATCCCCGGGCAAGTTACTGACATTCCAAGTGCCTCAGGTTCCTCTCTGTGAAATGAAAACAGCCTTCGAGTCAACCCAGATGGGATGTGGGGCTCGTGAGCAGGTCCCGGAGGAGCATCTGGCACAGGCTGTGGGGGGAGCAGTGGGGATACACACCCCTGGGACCCTCTGAAAAAAGTGAGGGACCCTCTCCCCAGAAATGCATGCATGTGCACGCCTGCGATCGGGCACACAGCTCCAGGTGCAGGGCTTTCACAGAGCCCCAAAGCTCACGCGTGGCGCCCTGGGGGCCCCTGGATCCCAGGTGAGCAACCCCTCATTTAGATACAGTATTAGTTGGCCAAGCGACGTTAACAACAGGCACAGGATCAGGACAGAGTAAAGCAGCCTTTGAAAAAGAAATTAATGGTGACAGGAAACATTAAGCAAAGACAATCTTCTGGAGTGGATTTAGAAAAATGACGAGATTCTTACATTATGTGTGCTATGTATGTTTACATGTGATCACATACCAACACACACACACACACACACACACCCGCTTTTCCCTGGTCCTAGAGAACTGTAAAGCTACATACTTTTTTTTTTTTTTAAAAGATGACCGGTAAGGGGATCTTAACCCTTGGCTTGGTGTTGTCAGCACCACGCTCAGCCAGTGAGCAAACCGGCCATCCCTATATGGGATCCGAACCCGGGGCCTTGGTGTTATCAGCACCGCACTCTCCCGAGTGAGCCACGGGCTGGCCCTAAAGCTACATATTTCTTAACTCCCAGCTGTTACGGGTGAACAGAGTTGACTAGCACCCAAAGAAAGCTGTTGAGAAAGGGATCCCCGGCAGG